TAGAAGGACAGTATCCAACGGGAGATGCCAATGCGGTATCACGGTGATGGAAACTCCTAGAAGGCCACCGTAGATTTTCCACAGGGGTCCTTAGCACAAGGAGACAGCTCGAGCAACTGAACAGCTCAACGAGTCAGCCAGCCGCAAACAGGCATGCCCACACAACTCCCGCCCCTAGCAAACACCATCCAACATGTGCCACCAGACTTTCCTTGACAAAAAGTGGCATGGTCACAACCAAACTTGAAACCCATCCAAATGGACCTGTGAGGGGCCGGAGCAAGAGGCCGGTTTTTCCTTGAAGCACGCATCTGCACAGCAAGGGTTTTCTCCATCCTTCTGCCACCGGTTGCGAACAAGTTGTCGACTGAGCACGGTTTGTCGTCACTAAAAAGGCGACTTTGTTGAAGCAGCAGGTGCCATTGCTGGAAGCCATGGGCGAGAAGCTGATGGCGAGGAGCAAGAGTATTCTTCTGCATTTGCTTCACATCCAGTTTCACACGCAGTCAGTTGACGTATGCAAATATTGACCATCATCGGCATGACATTTGGCATACCTACCAAATTGTCACTAGGAAAGGGAGTTTCTCAACAAAATCCAATGTCATTTGTGCGCACGACAGACATTGACCGTGGCTCACATGGAACCCCAAGTTTCGCCCACTCATTTTCTGGGGGAATCTTCAAATGTGTGTTAACTGTACCCATTGCTTGGATATGCCAACTGAGTGTGCTCACTATACCCTTTGCATGGTTGTGGAAATAGGGTTTTGGGTTGCCACTTTCTGTGAGCAGCCAAGGGAATTCCGTCAAAGTGCTACAGTAGTGGGAATTGACCCACCTTGTCACAGAAAGGGTCGTTCTCATACCCATGCTGGCTTTTACTTGGAAGATTAACAGTCCCGAGGTCTGCTAGAATAGGGATGGGGGGGAGCGAGCTCAAGCAACAGAAGTGAAGGCTGCTTTTACTGCGCGTCTTTTTGGGAGGGTAGCAATTCAATCCGCATGAGGTTTGGGGTGGCCGTTAAGCCATTGTTTTGTGTTTTTGGATCTTGACATTTCTTCAAGCTTGCTCTTTTCCAACTACCTTATTGTCAAAGTCAATCTCCCGTGATAGGACGTTTGCCAGGAGCCTTGGGCAAAGAAAGGACTCGCCTGCCCTGTGGTTTCAATCCTAAACAATCCCAGAAAGGGTGCTCAACATTAGGCTAAAATGGATGGATTGTGACGAGGAAACCAAAAGGGTCCTCCCCCCTCTACACAATCTCCGAGCCTCTCAACTATCAAACCACTAGTCTGACCATCAAATCGGCAAACGGCTGATTTTCCACAAACAGATGCCCAGTTAGTAGGAGAAGAAGCCAATCCCCCCACCGCTTCTTGGAGGGGTTTGGATGTATTGGCTCTATTTAAGACACTTTCCGGGGGTAGGTAGTAGGCGGGCCCTGAGAACATAATAGGTTTCCCCCCAAAAGGAATCAACCCCAGCACCATCAACTCCTAAGGGAAGCCCTGCCAATGGCAACCAAAGGCGCTGGCCGCCTCTGTTCGGTTGCAACGCATAGGTGTCCTTTTTGGTTGGTTTGTTAAACAATAGAGGGCTCTGGTTTACCTGGTGGTTCAATCATCTACCAGGGCCAAAAGGACACCTATATGCAGGAAGCCTCATTTCGGATATTTTTGTAAACCCCATTTCTCGCCGACCCGTCCGGCGTAGTGGGCGGGGCCCCGATTTGGTCACGCAGATGTCACAGGATTGCGGAGGCTTCGCCTCAGGATCTGGCGATCACCAGGCCGGCGCCTTGGTCGTGGGACCGGTTTCGACCCCGCCCAAGAAAAGCTCGCCCGAATTGTTTCTGGAGACTTAGGCTAAGGATACATTTTGCATACCAGGGGACTCAAAGTGAAGCAACCAATAAGACATATATAATATATACCCTAGGCTTCCAAAGGCCATTAAAAGAATGGTCGAGGTTGCTAGACTGTTTTTTGCCGAAAGACCGTTTTTTGCGCCTGGCCCTGAATACCCAAAAAATAATTGTTTTTGTTGCCCAAGAATTGCTTAGGGTCAGGTCACTGAAAGTCACGCCGCCCTCATCCTCCCAGCTGCAAATGACTGCACCCAAGCCACTCATTCCCCGGCTTGCCAAATGTATGGTCGCATCACTTTTCAAAATCGCCAGGTGTCCCGCCTACTGTAGAGGCGTGCATAGATTTTTCGCATGTTGGTACTGAAGTCCGGCTTTTTTGAAAAATGCTGCAATCTTAGTGGCTTCGGGGCATCGCTGCCGATCAAACATGCGTTGTTGGCTCCTGGGGGTATGGTTGTCCACGCTTTTAAATGTACTTTCCACGCTAAAAAACGTACTTTCCACGCTAAAAAACGTACTTTCCACGGTTTGTCCATGGTTTGTCCACGCCTCATTTTTCGAAAACGATTAAACAATCAACAAACAACACGCGATCAGACTCTGTGGAGCTGTGGACAAGAAGTGGAAAAACACGCACGGGCATGTGAGGGACAAGCCATATTGACACAGCATGGTGACGGCGTGTGATTACAACGGGATGAAGCGACTGTAAAACATACTGAGCTAATTTCATAAAAGGCGGCAATAAAGTTCTTCAGCCTCTCACTGCACAGAAGCGCGTGGGGATGTCAGGAGCCAGCCGTCTCAAGTTGGACAAGTTTGTCTAGACCTACTTTTAATGGTCGAGGGACATTACTTTTATAGCCTTTCGTTTTTTAAATGGTCGAGGCTATTTAAAGAATAGTCGAGGAAGCACAGGGTATATATATATATATCTATATTTATATACATATATATATATATATATTATAAAACTGGGCCCAACTCTAATCATGGTTTGTTTGTCTGTCTGTGCTGCCCGTCTGTCCTGTCCTGTCACGTCAAATATCAAATTAATCCTTGCTGTGTTGCCAAACCAAGAGGACAAATGTCGCAGGGTGCAACCATTAGACTGCCTGTTTCATGGCCAGCTCGCTCGAAGTGTTGCAACGAGCTCACTATGATGTAAGTCCTTTTCTTGGATCCATTATTTCAGGGTTTGCAAACATATTACGAGTATTGCAGATTAGACATGAGGCACGTATCTCTTTCTTGTTTCGGGACGGAGAAAGGTTCGATGTGCCTCCGCTGCAGTTGAAGCTGGGCTGCCTTGACTTGGAGCGACGAGAAGAGGCGAGGAGACGTGAGGCAGAAGCAAGTGTCTTGTACTGGGATCCCAGTTGATTTCAGAAACCCCTGGTTGATTTTGATTCGGGGGTGTCCGATTTCGCAGGGAAGCCTTCACTTTAGGAGGAAACACCCGCCTATGAATCCAGCATCTGGTCGGTTTATCCAGTGTCGACATCAAAGCGTGTTGGTGGGTGTGAATGTCGATTGGTTGGACCCTTTGGTGGACCGTAGCAGACCAGGTGTTTGGGCGCAGCCCATGTTTGTTTTTGTGGAGGGGTGCCCTTTTCGACGCTGGCTTAGTGGAAACCAGAAAGAAAGCAGCCATTCTTGAAGCACCCGAATGTACAATTGGCGATTCCCAAGCATGAGTCAGTCAGAATGGCAAGCACATAGTGGAAACAGCAGAAAGACGCAGACAGAAGAAGCTATAGTAGACGAAGCAATCACAAGGACTCACACCAAGCAGGAGAGGGAAAGAGATGGAATGTCGATGCGGCGAGACGACGATCTTCAAGAGATGACATGACATGGAGATGGAGAAAGCAAGAGGGAAATGGAGAGGTGGCCAGAGGAAACAGCTGGAGAGCCGAGCTCTTCTTGAATCCTTCCGCTTTGTGCTTTGTTGCAACATGTTTCCTCCGGGTTTGATTTCTGTGGGCCTGCTCATACTCCAGCTCAGCTTTCCCCTCATCGACTTGGTGTTTTGATTTGGACAATAGGGGGTAGCTTCCGATTTTGTTTAAAGAGGGATCTGCGGCTTCAACTCAACTAATCCATATGGATGTGGCTGAGTAGTGGACGCCATAGGGAGCCCTGGTTCCGGCATGTTGTCCAAGAATTGAGCTGCACCTGGCCTCGGCACACTGCTGTGGTCAAGCTGGTTAAGGGCAGCTGTGAAACGAGTGTTGTTTCTACTTGGCTTCCATGGAATGCCCTCAACTGCAAAGGTGTTGTTGTGTGGGTCTCCCTATTTAAACCAATCCGAACAAGGCTAGCCTCAAAAAACAAGCCACAACAACTTGGGGGACCCGCTAAACATGAAGCTGACACCTGCACCATGCATGGCAAATGGATACCCATATATACCTTCCAGTATTGTTAGGCAACCCTTAGCTGGTGGTTTGGATTGGTGGTTTGAAGATTTGCGCCCCTGGTTCTTGTAGAGGGTGAATAGGAAACCCGCAACCAGAGGCCGTTTCCACTTACCAGGTTCCATTTTGGTACCCGTTTTTTTGACCCACAGCCAAACAGACACGCACAAAGACCTACCTATTTTCACCTGCAGACTGGCAGCTATCTCCAGCCAGCTTCAACTCCGCCTGTCGGCAGCCAAGTTGAAGCGCTGTCACGTCGCTGGAGTTCTGTTTCATCTTTGGACCGATGGTGTTCCCTCTGATGGCATGGTCAGTCGTGTGTAGTACAACTTGTGCTTTAGATGTCCAATGGGTTCGCGGAAGGGCGGAACGCAGTATACAGCAGAAGTCATTTTCTGCAACCCCCAAAGATAGAAATCCTTTTTGAGAGCACTCGTGCAACAAGTCAAGAAACAGGCAGTTTGTCTTGTGCAATTTCTCTGTTATTGAAAGCTCTTAGGCAAATCCCCGTGTCATTTCAACGGCAACCCCCTTCACAGTGCTGGAATCAGCTTGACCTGGCATTATGTCCAAACCGAACTTAATTTCCAGACTAGCATCCCTGCGGATTAGTTTTTAGGTTATTTTGTGGTGGCGGGTTTTGAACGGATCTTACGTCATGTGACATCAATGTGTCATTTGCTGTTCATTGCCGATTCGTCCGCAGCTGCTCAATACCTAACGAAGGAGCTTAGCAGCTTTCTTTTAGTATGGCCCGGAGTGCCTTGCTGTTGATATGGTGCCTTCAATCCGCGTTCGCAGATTGGGGCGATACCATCAACAGGGCTGGATTGCAGCGAACCCTCTCCCAGACGATGACCAAGGACTGAGCCAGAGCACCCGTTGTCCTTTTCGGAGCCCGCTTTGGGCCGTACTACTAAATTGGGGTGGTTCCCAATTTAGTGAATAACACATCTTCCTTTTTGTTTGGGGGGGTGGACTTAACATTACGCTGTGTTTGGTTCGTTTGGTTTTTGGTTCTGGAATTATTGGGTGTGGTTTGGTTGACCGGCCAACCAGAGCGGCCAATATTTTCTAGAATATGCCTTTGCTTCGCCTGCTTGTGTTTGCTTCGCCGGCCTTTGCATTTGCATTGGTCGCAAAATAGGGGCACCTGAAGCATGGATGCGTGCTTGAATTTGGATGAATGTCCCTTTAAGCAAACCTTACTAGAGTGCTACAAGGTCCCTTGATTCTCAGAACGCGTCTGCGCGGTATTTCTTAATCGCAAATTTAGTCATGGTTCTACATATAATTTAGGTGTACACTATGTGTAATTATGTTGCACCTTATTTGGAAGTATTAGCAAGCTAGAATTATAGCCGTAAGCCATTGATTGACTCATAGGGAGGGGGGGTTCTCAAAAATCGGGTTTTAGTTTTACCAGCCGAAAGGGGATCCATCCACCATGTGAGTGTTGAGAAAGTTTCTTGTGTATCTCAAGGAGTTCCTGCTGGTGGCTCGAGGGGACGAGGTGCCCAAGAACAAGGCGAAGTTGGTGCAGGGCATCGAGTCCTTCAACTTCACCTTGAACGCGTTGCTGGGCGGCGGCGCGACGGAAAGTTAGCGAAACACTCGACGATTCGGATGCGGTTCGAATCAGCGGCATGTCCTCAGTGATACAGTAGCGATTGGCGCAGTGAATCCATGCTGGTGTGGCGATTTTCCACAACCAGGCTTCAGTAGGCATGGACATGATCCCTGGTTTCGGCTTCCCACAAGGCGCAGATTTAAGGGTTCCATTGTTATGTATCTAAGATGATTTCCACTGCCCACAAACCACTCCCCCATGTGTTTGGTGGGGTATAAAACCACTACAAAGCCACTAACAGAAAGGGTTTACAGCCTGGCCCATATCCCTTGGCAGAGGTTTGGGTAGTGGCGACATCCGTTCGGACCTAACAGACACAGGTCGGTGACTAATTGCAAGTGATTCAGGTATGGCTTAAGACATGTGATATGAGGGATTCCGGTCTTCCGCACCTGCTATCTACCCAGAGCTGGATTTGTCGCCAGGCCCTGAGCATGGTGAAGTTGATGACATAGATGTCAAGGAAAAACTGGATGTGTGCCTTTCCCCATACAGTTGTTCATTTATGCCCATGTCCCCCTGGTTTGGGGTAGTGCTATTATTTGTTCAGTTTGCTGAGTTATTCTGGATGCACACTAGCCCATACATGTCGAGTTGTCCCAGCAGGCAGGCAAAAACCATAAATAGATAAGTATTCTAAATATCTGTACAACAAATGCTAAGACTTGGTGCTCAATATCGGCTCTGGGAAAAACAACAATGCTCCATCTCATTGTGGGGTTACTCAGAAGCCCAGTGGATCAACAGACAGTTGAATGTTTTGCACGGGGCAATAGACAACTCATCGCGCGTGGATCCCGATTTTCGCGTGGCAATTCCAGGTGGAGACGTGGGTCAAGGAATTCTGGGCTCGCCCACCGAGAAGGTGACACTTCTTTTGCAGGAGGTGGTGGTGCTGTGGAAGCCATTCGCAGAGTGCCTTGGAAAAGGAAGCACACCCGGACCGTGAACATACTATGGACAAAACCCTACACCGGTTGGCAGGTGGCTATTCCCATCTTCACGGTTCCTATGCATCTGGAACAAGGACCCCGTCCTCTCAGCCCACATTAAAGATAAAGAAAACCAATAACCCCCAGCAATACTATATCAAATAGAAACTCGACTCCACCAGCACTAAAACATGGAAGCCCAAATCCAAGCTGCAAAACCAAATCCAAATTGCAAAAGGAAGCTCCGGCAATACTATAACAGTTGTACTGGAGCTCAATATATTTATATTTGCTCCTTTGTTGATGCCGGTGGGGGGGCCTTTAGTTCGCCATGTCCCAGTTGATATGGGGCTTCAAAAGTTTCATCCATCTCAATTGCATAATTTGGTCCATCCACCGTTGAACAGAATGTGTTTTGTTTGATTTTGTTCTGTTTTCTTCGTTTCTCAGGGGTGACACTCAAACTTGTTTGAATCCTATCATGACACCCCTAAACCCTATTCTAGCTACTTTCTAGGTCCTCATAAATTTGTGTTTTGGTGTTTCTCAAAATTAGGGGCCCCTTCAGGAGCTTGGTTTCCTTTTGGTTCTTTAAACCCTATCACAAAAAGGACCACCTTCGCGACACACCCATTCAAATTGGTTTGATTGGGTTTGCTCAAGCACCCCAAAACCATATTCGCCAACTACTTAGGCAGTTATAATAGTTATGATCCCCATTTGATCAAAGCCACCACTCATGCAAATTCAAAGGGAACAAATGCCACCCCTCATGTGTTTGATTAGAATATTTTGCCACCTATTTAGGCCCTTATAGTTCCCATTGGATTCAACGAAAGCGAACTGCCGGAGGCTTCTCATCACCAACATGGACTCGGTGCGCCGCGGCGACGGCTCCGTGGACACCGCGGTGCTGGGGTCGCTGTCCACGCGGAATGGGCCGCTGCTCGACGCCTCCAACGCGGTGGTCTCCGCCTTGGTGGACGCCGCCAAGGCAAGGTGGCGCCCCCGATTCCACCCAAAAACAATATAAACCACCAGATATAGATATGTGTTATACAACAATACAATACCCAACAACATACCATATAGATCGATACATTGATGTATATATATATATATATACAATCATTTTTCTATATACGGGTGTATTGTTTAAACCCCACCTCGCCCACAACAGTTGTGCTTTAACGTGAAAAAACTGTGTTGTTGTCTTGTTGCGCAGCCTCACCCCACTTTTTCCTTCCACTGAGGTGGCTGGGCATGTTCTGGTTTGTGGCGAGGAAGGCCCACATGTAGTTTGACCGGTTGATTTGTTCCTAAGGTAGTGAACTCCGCTTGGGTTGTTTAGCAAGAGACAACCGAAACGAAGCTCCCTTCTTGACGCAAGGTTTTTTTTGAAACACACACCAGGCCACCTTCCAACCCAAACCACGTCATTAGGAGAAAAGGGGGGGAGGCTGCACCACAAGAGCATGGCCATTTTCCTCGTAACCTAACACTCATGGAGGTGGACGGAGCTTCCGCAAAAGCAATTCTGAACCTTCCAAAACCCTGATTGCTGCTACCTCGGCTTTGGCGCTCAGCAAAAACCACGTTTGAGTCTGCCCCTTCGTTTGTTGGAGGAAGGGCCCCTTAACACTGTGGTGGCGTCCAACAGGGATTATGAACAATCAGATGGGCCAATCTGCCAATCTGAACAGTTAGTTCAATCTTTGGGTCCTTTTGGGGTAAGTTTGGTGGAGCATGAAACCTTTGCATTCCACTCCCTGCCCCAATGGCTGTGATTGGCATGGTCCCAAAACGCAAAGGAGGCCAGGTCTCAACCCATTCGCCAGGTCCTGGACAGGTTTCAGACTGCCAGAAGAACACCAGGGGCCCAATCCCCCCCTCCTTCGAAGGCGTGTTTGTGGTTCCAGGGTTTTTTTTTCAAGGCTGCTCAATTTCCCATCTTTGCCGCCCAAGGCTTGATGGCTCTTCCCTGTTTCTCCTCAGGTTTGACAAGTTTCTCCTTGTTTGTCGGGTTTCTGTGTGTCTCTCTTTGGCGCCGAATGCGTTTGTTTGTTACGTTTTCGGCGAATCATAGTGAATGCATATGTCAATATGTAGTTTCCAGTTTTGTTTGGGGGGTTCGCGTTCATGAGCAAGTACTTGTCTTTCCATGTCTCACGGTCTTTCCTTTTAAACATGATGATTGCTGGCGCTGTTTATTGCTTGGTTCTGAAATCAGGATTCTCGCACTCCTTCTTACTTCAGTTCGTCTTCCGCCGGGTGAGATTGTCCTTGTAAGGAATGGGATCTGTTACCCACGTGTTGTTTTTGCGATTGCTGGTAATGCAACTGCCCAATTTTGCCAATGATCGTAAGACTCTAGCTCATACAGTCAGCACCAACTCCCTCTTTCCTCAGGGGCTTATTTGTAAAGCAAGGTGAGGTGTAGCCGAATCTTCGGTATCAACTTTTGGTTCCATTCAAAGGTCACCCACCCCAGAGGGTTGCTCCGAACCTGACCAAGCCACCAGGGTCCAAAAATTGTCTTGGGCCCTTTTGCTTTAGGGCCCAAATGGCTATGTGTCAAAATCACTGGGAACACCCTAAACCCTAAACCGTAAACCTCCTCCTCTTCTAATGGTGATTGCCTTTTTGTTCCCTCAACCAAGCATAAAACAGGGTACCCTCAAGAAAACACGCGATCTTCGGAGACGCCTGCGAGGTGTCTGGTGCCGAGACCAATGGACTGGTGCAGGAAAGGGGCTGCAGGGTTTGCCTGAGGTGCTAAGTCCTTAAAGGGGTTCTTTTCTTGTTCGGGGCTAGGGATTTTAGTAAGGAATCATTATCCAAAAGTGGTTGGTGGACATTAGTCTCGCCCTTGAATGATGTCCACCCTTTAGGATCCCAATTGGAGATCATGCCCATGTCCTTGCTTTTTAAAGCTGCTTCCAGTTGATTCCAAGCAAAGAACACAGTGTTGACGTGCCGGGGGTTGAGAAGATGCATTTTGACCATGATGCCATGATGCCATGATGGTTGGTTGCCTAGCCAAGACCAAGCAGAAGTGTTTTGCAACGAGAGAAAACCACACCCTAAAAAAGGGCATGCCGGTTTGTCTTAAGACATTTGGTATGCGTGTGGTCTGCCTCTAAA